ACATTTCAAGTAAGTTTTATACATGTGATACTTCAGAAGGTTTAATATAAAAATTAGTGTTTAATAAATGTAGAAAAGGCACCTAATATTATCAAGTTCATATCTAATAAAAAGTTCTTAGAAAAAACATGAAGAGTAGTCTATTTCCTCAGTGTGCGAAGAACATTTATCTCATATCAGCAGCAAACAATGTTGAATAGCAAAACATATTCCCATTAAAATTAGATTTAAGATTGTTCTGGATGCTCTGGCTAATGCCAATAATATATGAAATAAAAATATGAGAAATAGTATTGAAAGAAAGAGACGAAGTTCTTACTAACCTATATGATAGGTTAGTAAATTGCTGGGATACGATGTAAATAAAAATTGGTAGCATTTTGCATACCAGCAATAACTAGCTAGAAAATGCAGTGGATAAGGTAGATTTCATTCCAAATAAAAGTAACAACAAATAACGAACTAGAATCAATTTCAATAAGAAATGTATGTCATATATATATTATAAAACTACAAAAGGGCCTTTGAAATTATTTATGATGCAATGTTATTTTTAAATGGCAAGTCATAAATATATATATTACAAGTTTAATGTTATATTACACGTCATATATATGCTTAGAAAAATATGGAAAGGAAATATAAGTAAATGGCAACAGTAATAAGATAATAGGTAAGAGCTTTGGCATCAGCAGAACAGGGCTGAATCCTCTCCACCTCTTGCAGAGACCCACTGAGGGTTAGCGCTTCAACCTATGAATTTTGGGGAAATACAATTGAGTCCACAACAGATATATTTGTGGAGGAAGGAGAAATCTGAAATTTATATTTATGTCTTTCAGAGTGTGCAAAGGTATGCTAATATCATTCATGGCAGTAACAATAAATATTCCTTAATATTTTGCAACTTATAAAGCCTGCTGACGTATTTTTCTCAAATCATGGAAATGCCACCTAATCACTGAGGTCTTCTCTGAATAGCACCCCATGTATCATGTGGCATTATGTGTATATAATACTGTCCCCAGCCATTCTTCTCTCACCTCTTACGTAGCTTTACTTTTAATTTATCATCTTATCATCATCCAATATATTTGTTTTTCAGCTTTATTAAGGTATAAATGACAAAAATGGCATATATTCAAGGTATACAGTGTGATGATTTGATATACATATACATTGTGGAATGATTAGTCCAATCAAGTGAATTAACACATTCATTACCATGCAAGTTACTATCTTGTGTGTGTTGTGTATGAGGATACTTAAGATCTGCTCTCCCAGCAAATTTCAAGTAAATAATACAGTATTATAATACAGTATTATAAAACAGTATTAACTATAGTCAGCAAGCTATACATTAGATCCTCAGAACTTATTCATCTTATAACTGAAAGTTTGGACTCTTTGGCCAACATCTCCCCATTTTCATCCCCTTTCAGCCCCTGACAATCACAGTTCTATTCTCTACTTCTATGAGTTTGACTTTTTTCTTTTTTTTTTAAGAGACAGCATCTCATTCTGTCACCCAAGCTGGAGTTCAGTGGCATGATCACAGCTCACTGCAACCTTGAACTTCTGGGCCCAAGTAATCCTCCTGCCTCAGCCCCCTGAGTAGCTAGGACTGTAGGCATGCAGCACCGTGGCCAGCTAATTAAAAAAAAAAAAATGTAGAGATGAAGTCTTGCTATGTTACCCAGGCTGATCTTGAACTCTTGGCCTCAAGCAATCCTACTCCTTGGCCTCCCAAAGTGCTGGGATTACAGACATGATCCACTGTGCCTGGCCTATGAGTTTGACTTTTTAACGATTCCACATATAAGTGAGATCATACAGTATTTGTCTTTCTGTGTCTTATTTCACTTAACATAATGTCCTTCAAGTTCAGCTACGGTGTTGCAAATGGCAGGGTTTCCTTTTTTAAGGCGAGTAATATTCCATTGTGTATATATACCACATTTTTATTATCCATTCATCTTTCAGTGAATGCTTAGATTTTTTTTTTCTGTATCTTGGCTACTATAAATAATGCTTCAATAAACACAAAGGTGTAGGCGTCTGTTTGATATATTGATTACATTTCTTTTGGTTATATACCCAATAGTGAAATTGCTGGATCATATGGTAGTCCTGTTTTTAATATTTTGAGGAACTTCATACTGTTTTCCATAATGGCTGTATCAATTTACATTCCCACCAACAGTGTATAGAGTTCTCTTTTCTCCACACCTTTGCCAACACTTATTTCTTATTTTTGTTTGACAATAGTCACCCTAACAGGTATGATGTGATATTTCATTGTGGTTTTGATTTGCCTTTCCCTGATTATTAGTGATGTTGAACATTTTTTTCATATACCTATTGGCCATTTGTATGTCTTCGTTGGAAAGGTACCTATTCAATTGCCCACTGTTTAATTGGGTTGTGGGTTTTTTGTTGTTGTTGTTGCTATTGAGTTGTATACGTTCCTGGATATATTTTGGATATTAACCCCGTATCTGATACGTGGTTTGCAAATATTTTCTCTCACTTTGTAGGCTGCCTCTTCATTTTGTTGATTGCTTGCTTTGCTGTGTAGAAGCTTTTGGGTTTGATGTAGTCCCACTTATTTATTTTTGCTTTTGTTGCCTGTGCTTTTGGTGTCATACCCAAAAGAATCATGGCAAGTATTGGTTTAGTTACTTTTTGCCCATTACCTATACTAGGAAAGACTTCCTGAGAGCATAATATACACTTGTTTTGTTCACTATTGTGTCCACATCGCAGCACCTAGAACAATGCCTGGTGCACAGTAGGTAACCAATACATTTTTACTTGAAAGATTAAGTTATTATGTGATCATACCAATTAACTGTGTGGTTAAGTAGGTAGTGTAGGTACTGTTTATAGATAAGGGACAAGTAGCTCATATGGTCATAGGGATTCTGAATTTCTGTCTCATAGGCTTTCTATTATCAGGTACATTCTGTTATCAGTCTTCATGACTCATGATCTTGTCTTAGATTATTAAATATGTGGGTTCTTTTTGAAAAGCTTTGTTCAGATATAATTCATGTATTATATAATTCACCCACTTAAAGAAAACAATCAAATGGTTTTTAGTATATTCACAGAGTTATGCAATCATTATTACATGAGTTTTGTAACAGTATCATCACCTCCAAAAGAATTTCCCTATCCTTTAGGCAGCACTCCCCCAATTCCTCCATCACTCTTAGCCCCAGGTTATCACTAATCTGTCTGAAGTCCTTATAAATTTGCCTTATAGCTCACTGAAACCTTGAACTCTTGGGCTCAAGCCATCCTCCTGCCTCAGCCTCCTGAGCACCTAGGACTACAGGTGTGCACCACCAAGACTGGCTACTTTTTAAGAATTTTTTTTGTAGAGATGGAGTCTTGCTATATTGCCCAGGCTGGTCTCGAACTCTGGTCTCATGCAATCTTCCCATTTTAAAAATATATATAGCTTCCATACATTGCTTGTTAGAATGATTTCTAGATGGTTTAGGTTTTTGTTATTATTTTGAATGAATTGAGTGTTCTAGAGCTATGCTGTACAATGTAGTAGTTGCTTGACATATGCAGCTATTGAGCACATGAAATATGGCTGGTCCTGTTTCTTTTTAAAGTCGCTACTAGCACATTTAAAATGACATATGTGACAAATTATATTTCTGTGGAATGGTCATGTTCCCGACAGAACAAATTTATCAGATGAATTTAAAATATGTATTTCACTTTGTATTTTGTAGACAAAATACTACAAGCTCTCAAGGAAAATTGAGATTTGCTGTGAGGGTAAAATACACACCACAATTTTTTTTTTTTTTTTTGAGACGGAGTCTTGCTCTGTCGCCAAGGCTAGAGTATAGTGGCACAATCTTGGCTCACTGCAGCCCCTGCACCCTGGGTTCCAGTGATTCTCCTGGCTCAACCTCCTGGGTAGCTGGGATTAAAGGCGCACGCCACCACACCCAGCTAATTTTTGTGTTTTTAGTAGAGACAGGGTTCCGCCATGCTGGCCAGGCTGGTCTTGAACTCCTGACCTCAGGTGATCCACCTGCCTCAGCCTCCCAAAGTGTTGGTATTACAGGCATGAGCCACCGCGCCTGGCTACATACCAGAATTTTAGAGCTTGGTATGAAAAAAGAATGTAAAATATTTCACTACTAATTTTAAATGTTGATTACATATTGAAGTGATACTATATTGGGTCATATATTTAACTAATATTTAGTGATAAAATATGTTATTAAAATTAATTTCACCTGTATCTTTTAACTTGTTTAATATCATGATTAGGACACTTAAAGTTACATATGTGACTTGTGGTATACTACTATTGGATAGTGATGGTCTAGACATCAAATTTATCAGACAAGTTTAAAATGGGTGCAGCACACCAACATGGCACATGTATACATATGTAACAAACCTGCACGTTGTGCACATGTACCCTAGAACATAAAGTATAATAAAAATAAATAAATAAATAAATAAAATAAAATGTGTATTTCACTTTGTATTTTGTAGCAAGAATCTTAAAGTCCCTGAGAAAGAAACATATTTTGAAAGGTAGTAGAGGAAGATCCCATGATCAGAAAAGACTGAAGATACACCATGAAAGTAGTGTTTGGCTCTATATTCAAATATATAACAAATTTGATGACTAGGCATGGCCTGCCCACATCTATCCCAGCCTGGGCCTTCACAATAGCCTCTCAATGGGATGTCCTGCTTCTGTTCTTGCCCTCTCCCTGGGAATAATCCCCACACCAGTCAGAGGGCTGTTTCCACGATGCTGGTCAGGTTCCACCACTTCCTGGCTCAGCACCCATCACTGGCTTCCCAAAGCCTTATGTGATCTGGGCTTCCTCTCCCATCTCTCTCTCCAATCTAGGCTTTGCCCATCAGCTCTGGCTACACCATCCTCTCTCCTTGTTCCCTTTCTCTTGGAATACTCTCCTGGCCTGGTCTTGTCAGGGCTGGCTCCTACCTGTCATTCATATCTCAGCTTCCTTCGCAGTGGGTTTTCAGAGTGTCTCATGAAGAGTAGAGACTATGAAGCTATCCTTCCTGAGTAGCCGTGTGACTCTGGGAGAGTTTACTTTTCTGTTCCAGTCTGCTCATCTGCAAAAGGGTATAATTATGGTGTCCTCAGAAGATTAAATGAGTTATTACATGAAAAATGCTTACAACAGTGTCTGGCATATAGTAAGTACCATGTTTATATCAGCATCATCACTACCGCCACCATCATCATTGTCACTATGAAATATTTGGTAATCCCAGCACTTTGGGAAGCTGAGGCAGGTGGATTGCTCGAGCTCAGGAGTTCAAAACCAGCCTAGGTAACACGGTAAAACCCCACATCTACTAAAAGTACAAAAAATTAGCCAGGTTAGTAGCATGTGACTGTTGTCCAAGCTACTCAGGAGGCTGAGGTGGGAGGTTGAGGCTGCAGTGAGTCCTCATTGCACCACCGTACTTGAGCCTGGGCAACAGAGTGAGACCTTGTCTCAAAAAAAAAACACAAAAAACAAAAAACTTGGCACCATGTATCAGGGAACTTAAAAAAGGGTCTCACCACTGATCCAACAGTTCAGTTGAATGAATTTATCCCAAGTAAATATTTACTTAGACAAGAGTATATGGATTTGCATATCTCATGGAATTAAAAAAATATTTAAAAACAATTATAATTATCTATTATAAAATAATTATAATATATTTTCAAATAATAATTTTAAAAATTATTATAAAATAGGAATGATAAATTGGAAATAGCCTATGTATTGATTGATTAAATAGCAACAACAGTGAAATAATAGACAGTCATGAAAAATTATCTAGATTGGAAATTCTTAACGTTTTCTTCTTCCATGGACCCCGTTGGCAATCTGGAGAAATGTAATCAATGTCTTCTCAGAATAATGTTTTTAATGGTGTAAAACTGACTATACAGGATTGTGAAGAAAACAGATACATGGAAATAAAATAATCAGAATAATAAAATATTTTTGTAATGTATTAATAATTTTTTTTTTTTTTTTTTTGAGACAGGATCTGACTGGAGTGCAGTGGTGCAATCACGGCTCACTACAGCCTCAACCTCCCAGGCTCAAGCCATCCTCCCACCTCAGCGTCCCAAGTAGCTGGGACTACAGGCATGTGTCACCACACCTGGCTAATTTTTGTATTTTTGGTAGAGATGAGGTTTTGCCATATTGCCCAGGCTGGTCTTGAACTCCTGGTCTCAAGTGATCGTCCTGCCTTGGCCTCCCAAAGTGCTGGGATTACAGTCGTGAGTCACGGTGCCCAGCTGATTCTTCTTTTTAAAGGCGTAACATAAAAAGATCTAGCAGCAGGTCTAATAATTATAATTTTCAAGTAGCGGTAAACAAAAATGCATCAAGTTACCTGTGACAAATTCTCCGTGGTATAAGAACAAGAAAAAGTGGAACAAGAAAAAGGGAATGTAATATCTGCCCGCTCCCTGGACAAAACCCTCCAGGAGTGAAATGACGCAAGCTTAGTTTTTCACTGTAGTACTCTCAGAATTAAAAGCAAAATTCATATAAAGAATAAACCATATACTTATGAAGAAAAGACCATAATACTTATGATTTTTAGTGGAGACAAATTCACAGGTGCTGCTAACACAACTGTGATTTATTGTCTATACTAATACTTTGAAAGATATGTTAAATTTCAGCTAGAATTGCTAAAAATAGAGATGTAATCTCCCCCCAACCCAAATTCATAAACCCTCAGGTTTAAAATCCGTGATCTAGCTTATAAGTCCCCAGACTTTTTCTATAAAGGGCCAGATAATAAAAATTTAGACTTGTGGGCCATACGGTCTCAGTCACAACTACTGAGTTCTCCTGTTTTTAATATGAAAGCAGTCACAGACAATATGCAAACAAATGAGCATAGTCGTATTCTGATAAAACTTTATTTACTAAAGCAGGCAGAGGACCTGATTTGGCTTATGGAGTATACTTTGCTGTCTGCAGTCTAGAATAAAAGTTTCTGACTCGGAAAAATGTTCCTGAACTGCTAAATGAAACAGAGCAGGTTACAAATAATTATGAAGTGTTCCATTTTGGTGAAAAAAGTATATCTCTATGTATGTCCCTGTGCATATGTATACATGTATAAAAATACACAAGTTTGGAAGAGCTTACTAAAATGTCAATGGTGATTGTTTCTGGGTGATGGGAATATGAACACTCTATACTTTTCTATATTCTTTCATTGTTTTTCAATCAGGGTACATTAATTTTATGGTTAGAAAAGTAAGAATTAGCTGGACACAGTGGCTCACGCCTGTAATCCCAGCACTTTAGGAGGCTGAGGAGAGTGGATCGCTTGAGCTCAAGAGCTCCAGACCAGTCTGGGTGACATGGGTGAAACCCCATCTCTATTAAAAATATTAATACAAAAAATTAGCTGGGTGTGGTGGTGCATTCCTGTAGTCCCAGCTACTTGGGAGGCTGAGGTGGGAGGATCACTTGAGCCTGGGAGGCAGAGGTTGCAGTGAGCCAAGATTGTGCCACTGCACTCCAGCCTGGGTGACGAAGTGAGGCCCTGTTTCAATTAAAAAAAAAAAAAAAAAAAAAAAAGGAAAGAAAAATAAGAATTAAAGCAAATAAACTGGAGGGTTTCTTAAAGGTCCAAACTCATATGAAACAAATTCCCTCTTGAATCCCTCCAACCATTCTTCCTAAGTCCTTGGTGAGAAAAAACTCACCTGTATCCTTTCACTATACCAAAACAAGTACAAGTACTGATATTCTGTTTTATGCAGTTAAAAACATTATTCTAATACGAGACCCAGCTTACTTCTCCAGGCTACCAAAGGGGTCTATGGAACAAGAAAAAGTGAATGTAGTATCTGCCTGCTCACTGAACAAAAGCCTCCAGGAGTGAAATGATGCAAGCTTAGTTTTTCACTGTAGTAGTCTCAGAATTAAAAGCAAAATTCATATAAAGAATCCGGCAAAGGATGGGTAACTGGAGATCCTCAGCAAGTGTTCATTCTATTCTCCTTTCCTTCCGTAGGCTGGTGCCACCAACATTTGGAACTAGCTATCAGTTCTCTTATCTGAAATCATATTGCTCGAAGAATGGGTACCTCTAGTTGTTTTACCAATTCCTCACTTGTATCACACAGAACCAAGTGTCACCTTCTCTGTTCCTCTCAAGCCCTCTGCTTTATTCCTTGCTGGCAGGACCCTAATGATGTCAGTCATTAATTTTGCTATGTGTTTTGGGAAGGTTATCCTTCTCCATCTCCAGGGAGGATTAAGTGCTGATTAGTATAAATTAGTGGTTTTCAACATGTAGCCTTTTAAAAATGTTAATGCTAGAGTTTATACAGAGTTCAACTGGGGCCATTCTGCCGTATCAGGGATACTAGACAATATCGGAGACTTTAAAATTATCATTTTTTTTTTTTTTTTTTTTTTATCAAAGGGGTTGCCACTGGCATCTAGTGGATAGAGGCCGGGGATGCTTCATATAATGCATAAGGCACTCCCCATATAAAGAATTACCTTGTCCAAAATGTCAATAGTACCAAGTTTTAGACACGTTGGTCTAAACCAATCATGGTGATTCCATTTCTTTATCCTTCACAGGTGGTGAAACTGTGGCCAGTGAGCTCAAGAGAAATCCTGGAAGGAAAAAACCCTTTTATCCCTGATATAAAAAATGCATGAGGAGAAACTGCCCTTCCTTACGGCCTTTGGATATGCTTGGGGAAAAGCATGATGGTTGCAGCTGTAGTTGCTTTTTGTCGTTAATACAAAAGATGGCAGAGATGAGACAGGAAAAACATCGACCTCCTCAGCGACATTGCTGAGTCTTGGAAACAATCCTGCAACCTCCTTACTGCTCTGGACTTCTTATTGGTAAAATAGTTTTTGTTTTTGGGTTTTTTTTCCCCTTTGAGACAGGGTCTTGTTCTGTCACCCAGGCTGGGGTGCAGTGGCATCTCAGCTCACTGCAGCCTCTGCCTTCTGGGCTCAGATGATCCTCCCCTCTCAGCCTCCCGAGTAGCTGGGACCACAGGCATGTGCCATCATGCCCAGCTAACTTTTGTATTTTTTTTTGTGGAGACAGGATTTTGTCATGTTACCCAGGCTGGTCTTGGATTCCTAGGCTCATGTGATCGACCCACCGTGGCTTCCCCAAGTGCTGGGATTACAGGAGTGAGCTGCTGTGCCTGGCCTAAAATAGTTTCTTTTCAAAATTTACTATTGTCCTGGTGTGGTGGCTCACACCTATAATCCCAGCACTTTGGGAGGCCAAGATGAGATCAGGAGTTTGAGACCAGCCTGGCCAACACGGTGAACCCCCATCTCTACTAAAAATACAAAAAAATCAGCTGGCATAGCGGCGGGTGCCTGTAATCCCAGCTACTTGAGAGGCTGAGGCAGGAGAATTGCTTGAACCTGGGAGATGGAGGTTGCAGTGAGCTGAGATCATGCCAATGCGTTCCAGCCTGGGTGACAGAGCGAGACTTTGTCTCTAAATAAATAAATAAATAAATAAATAAACAAAATAAAATAAAACATAAAAAAATTACTATTCCTTTTGTGTTACATGTAGCCTTTTACAAATGTTAATGCTAGAGTTTATACAGGGTCCCTCCCCAATTCCATGGATGTAGAAATTGAGACCTAAATGATTTAGGGGACTTGCTTATGGTCACACAGCTTTTTTAGCAACACAGCTGACACTAGAAAGTCAGCTGATATGATTGAGCCCCTAGTGTATTTACAATGTTGTGCCTGTGCCTGGGGAAGGTGCCAGAAAATTAAGTATGAATTAATTCATATACTCTTCGGATACAGATCTTACACTGGATCAACAATAATGACAATGAGCTGGACACCTGCTATGTGACAGCCATTTTATATATTTATCTTGAATCTTCACAGTCACTCTGAGTGGTTGGTATTATTTTTCTCATTTTGTAGACAATGAAAATTGCAACCTGGAGAGGTTCGATGGCTCACCCAAGGGTACACAGCGAGATGGTCATGAAATCAAACCTATGTCAGATCTTGGAGTCCACTCTAATTCCACTATATCACATGACCTCCCTTCCTAAGCATCAAAGCCTACCAGACTCATGACAGGGCTAGCTCCAAAGTGGGTGCATCTGAAGGAAGATTTTGTCTTAATATATTTTACCCAATGGATGATGCTTCTTAACAGTGACTTCAAGAGCAAACTAAAGAGTAATATTGGGGAACAGAGTTCAGATAAAACAACCGCCACCTACAGTTAAGGAGCAGTGAGGTTTGGGTAGGGTTGAGGGGTACGGCATATGGATGAAGACCTTGCTTCAAGATCAGATTCCCTAGGGAGTTACTCAGTTCTTCTCCTCATTGTGCTGCCAACCTCTGGCAAGCCAGCCATCAACACTGTGATATTAAGAGCACAATAGCTATCATTTCTTATGTGGTTGCCAGTCAGTACTGTGCTGTTCGTCCTAATAAGGATGAATAAACTACAACGAACTTAGCACACATCGTTTCCTTTAGACCTCTCGAAACCTAGGGAGGGATTTACCTTTAAAACAACCCAGAGAGTCAACAAGGTGGGGCCCTTTGCCCAAGGCAACACAGCCAGCAACTGAAAGGAGACTCAGTTCCCACTACACCGCTGAGCCTCTATCTTGTGCATCTCCACCTCAGACCTGCCTATTTCTCATTCCTTGTCTTTGCTCCAGCCGAGCCCCTGTTCGGAATGCTATCACCCTCCCCCTCTTTCCGGTCATCTGTCACAGCTCAGGTGAAATCTGGCATCCTTGGGGGAAATGTGTCTGTGACCACTTTAGTCCACAGAGCTTTTTCCTTTACTGATACCTCAAAAAAACAAAAAATTCTGTGAACATTATTATGAACATCTTGCTGCACCTATCTTGATTTATTTCAGTTGATACTTAACATAAAAAAAAGCACACATAGGATTTAAAAATACTTCTCAAAATAGCCCTCTGGGTTAGGAAATAGAAAACTGCCATGTACTAGTTATGCTACTTTGTTCAATCACTCTTGAAGCCTCAATTTCCTCAGTCCCTGAATGGACATAATCTTACTAGGCCCTGGAGGACCTGCAGGGTTCTTGTGAGGACTTGACTATTGTATCGGAAAATGTTTCAAAACCAGGGACTAGAAAGCCAAATGCCCACAAGAATCAAGCAGCTAATGAGGGAAGGAGGCCAGTGTAAGGCAACAGGGATTGGTGTGGGTCTGGTGCCCTGGAGACCACATGTCCCATCTAAAGAGACAGCTGTTGCTCAGCCCCAGCCAATTACTGCCATTCAGGAATGAGGACCCAGTGTTACCAGAGCTTAATTTTTCAAGAGACACAAAAAACACAGACTTTAAGTTACATCATTTGATTTTGAAGCATCGTTGGGTGTGGTGTTTCATGCCTATAATCCCAGCACTTGGGGAGGCCAAGGCGGGTGAATTTCTTCAGCCCAGGAGTTTGAGACCAGCCTTAGCAAAATGGCAAAGCACCACCTCTACAAATGCAGAAAAATTAGTCAGGCATGGTGTCATGTGCCTATAGTTCCAGCTACTTGGGGAGGGGGCTGGGTGGGTGCTGCAGTGGATGGACGGCTTGAGCCTGGGAGGTTGAGGTTTCAGTGAGCTGTGATAGCTCTGCTGCACTCCAGCCTGGGTGACAGAGGAAGACCCGCTCTCAAAAAAACCAACAAACAAACAAAAAACCACCATTATTTATGCCAAAGTAAACAAAACATAATGAGTGTCTTTCCTATAGGAAGCTAATTTGCAACTTTGTTCTATATACGTGTAGGTTGTTCTAAACTAGAATATTTGGATTGGCTCTCTGAGTTATTTTGTATACAATGTTTTCTTCAATATATACTTAGTGAGTCTAAGTTTTGTTTTCTCAATAAGACTGTAAGAGTTTTGGGGACACAATTTACATCTCCTGTATTGATGTGTAAGCCAAGCCTGTTTAATAATCTTCGTAGATGGTAACTTACTTGTTTGTCTATTTGTGTGGTCCTTAAATGTCAGCATGAGTCAGCATTTCCTGAATTGCTTGTTAAAAATGATGATTTCCCCCAGCAATTCCATCCCTAGAAATAGAACAGTGTACATATATTCATCAAAAGACATGTACTAGGATGATCAAAGTAGCACTATTCACAATAGCTGCAAACTGAAATCTATCCAATTGCCCATTAGCAGTCTTAGAATAAATTTAAAAATTGCATTATATTCACAATAAAAAAATCTATGCAGCACTGAAAAAGAATAAACTGCAACTGTAGGCAGCAACATAGATGAATTTCACAAATACAAGGTCAAGCAAAAGAAGTCAGACACCAAAGGGTATATAATATATATTTCCATCTCTATAAATACAGAAATTGGTAAAACCTAATGCATGGGTTATGAATTAGAATAATAGTAACTGTTGGGGCCGGGTGCGGTGGCTCACACCTGTAATCCCAGCACTTTGGAAGGCCAAGACGGGCGGATCATGAGGTCAGGAGATTGAGACCATCCTGGCCAACATGGTGAAACCCCGTCTCTACTAAAAGTACAAATATTAGCTGGGCATGGTGGCACACACCTGTAGTCCCACTTACTCGGGAGGCTGAGGCAGGAGAATCACTTGAACCAGGAGGTGGATGTTGCAGTGAGTGGAGATCACGCCGCACCACTGCACTCCAGACTGTGTGACAGAGCGAGACTCCGTCTCAAAAAACAAACAAACAAAACACACACACACACACACACAAACAAACAAAAAACAAACAGTAACTGTTGGAGAGAAGTAATGATAAAGGGATAAAAAGAGACTTCAGGGGTGCTGGCAATCTTGTTTCTTGATCTGGGTTCTGGTTGCATGGGTGTGAAAATTGAGGTGTCTATTTTTTGTACTTTTCTGTACATTAATATTGCAATGAAAAGTTAAAATGCTAATTCCTGGGCCCTAGCCCAGACTGACAGACTCACCCTCTCTCAAGTGCAGGTGTGTGGGTGTGTCTGTGCATGTCTGTGGTCAACAGTGTCCCCAGGCATTTCCATGCAGCTCATTAGGGTGACATCCTTTGAAAATTACACTGCACTTGAATGACACACATATTTCCTTCTTCAAGGGGTTTCTGCAAGCACTCTTGGCTAACTCAGCATCTGCCTTTCCTAGTTTCTTTTGTTATATATGCCCATGTTTTACCAGAAGCCAAGAGGTTTACCAACATTAAGAGGTCTTATGGGTACCTTCAAACAGTGGCACTTGGGACAACAGAGAGAGACAGCTCTGATGATGTGCCAGCTTATAAAATATGGCTAAATAAAATTAAATGTTTATGGGGTGACTAATGCGCCATATCCCTAGGGGAATCAGTCAAGTGCTCACCGTTGCTGAATTTCCACTGAATCCTGGCTTCTCTAGGGAAGGATTGCTGGGTGGAGGCCAGAAGGATCTGGGGCTTTTCCTGGAAGGGAAAAGGGGAGACTGTGACTGGACAGGAAAGGACCAGTGTATGCCCAGTATATGCCCAGTTTAGTGTCCAGGGCTCATTGTGCTCTATAGATGATGTTTGTTGCTATCTTTTCCATCTGGAAGGGACTGCAGAGATCATCGGGTTCAGAGGCTTTCACAGACCTCCCTAGAGAGCTGCAGCAGCATCTGCTGAGATGAGGGAAATAAACAGATTCCTGGGCCAACAACAGACTCGCTGAGTCCTAATTCCATTGCTTTGGAGTTTCATTTCAATGATTAACAATTTAAACTGAGTGTATCAAAAGAGCAGAATAGGCTGGGCATGGTGGCTCATGCCTATAATCCCAGCACTTTAAGAGGCCGAGGTGGGTGGATCACTTGAGGTCAGGAGTTTGAGACCAGCCTGGCCAACATGGTGAAACCCCACCTTTACTAAAAATACAGAAAAAATAAAAATTAGCTAGGCATGGTGGTGCAATTCCAGCTACTTGGGAGGCTGAGGCAGGTGAATCACTTGAACTTGAGGCAGGTGAATCACTTGAACTTGATTCACTTGAGGCAGGTGAATCACTTGAACCCAGGAGGCAGAGGTTGCAGTGAGCCAAGATTGTGCCACTGTATTCCAGCCTGGGCCACAGTGCACAACTCCATTAAAAAAAAAAAAAAAAAGAGCACAGTAGCAGAGTCAAAGGCAGCTCTGATACAATAATTGAGCAAGTTGCTTAACTGTCTCTGAACCTCACTCTCCTCATCTGTGAAGTGAGAATAATACTATCTACCATGGAGGGTTATGAGGGCTTTCAAAGCCCTGCCAGCTCTACCTGGAACATCCCGAGCACTCCATCGATGTTGGCTACTAAGAAAGGTACGTCGGATTACATTGTTTTTACTGGTATTAACTCACAATAAAAAAAATAAAATTCAGCAAGGTTTGGTGACTCATGCCTGTAATCCCAGTGCTTTGGGAGGCTAAGCAGGGAGGATTGCTTGAGGCTAGAAGTTTGAGACCAGCCCAGGCAACATGGCAAGACCCTATCTCTTAAAAAAATAATAATAATAAAAATGAATAAATAAAATAAAGTAGAAAATTAGCTGGGTGCGGTGGCACACACCTGTAGTTCCAGCTACTTGGGAGGCTGAGGTGGGGAGATCACTTGAGCCCAGGAGGACGAGGCTGTAGTGAGCCATGATTGTGCCACCGCACTTCAGCCTGGGTGACAGAGCAAGATCTCATCTCTAAAAAGAAAAAAAAAAAAAGAAAGAAAACTCGTCCGTATCACTATAATTATTTTTTCACCTTTGAAAATCTGAAATGTAGTAAAAGGAACTTCATACTGAAAAGGTTATCTAGGTATCATCCAAAGTCCTCCTGCAGGCTCCACTCTTCAGGCCCACATGGATAACGGATTTGGAGAAACAATGAAAAGAGGACAGGCCGATGGCAAAGAATGGTTTCAAGATCACATTTCTTACTAACATTTTTGTCAAGACTAGAGGAAGTGTGCAGCCTGTTGCCTGAGACTGAGAGTGGGTAGATGGGGAAAAGGGTTGGTTTCTTCCAGGAAGGGTGAAAATAGACATGTTGGTGCCAAGCTCTTGAACATTTACACAAGACAGGACACCTCATTGCGCATTGGACTACTTTTGCCTAGCGAGACCTGGACATTAAAGTGGTTGTCAAGCTGTCCGGTGTGGAGTCTACAAAAAAGAACAGATCCGCAGAGTTTAAGATTTATGCTCCAGGATGGTAGGAGCACCACTCCGAATACAAAACTCACGTAGGTTCTTGGCTGACTCTCTTTGGGTCTCTGTTGCTTTTTCCCTGCCTTCTTGGGTTTCAATATTACTCAGGTATTTATGAAAAGGGAGCATAAAATTTGGCTGAGGACCGGTGCAGTTCAATGCAATCCACTTGCACGAAGCCCTGAAATGTGCTGGAACACTGATTTTATTACTAAAGAGCTGAATAGGAATGGAAGAGAACCAGACAGAATTTGATCCTATAGGCTGGGTATGGTGGCTCATGGCTGTAATCTCAACACTTTGGGAGGCCAAGGTGGTCAGATTGCTTGAGGTCAGGAACCCCATCTCTACTAAAAATATAAAAATTAGGCATGGTGATGCATGCCTGTAATCCCAGCTACTCAGGAGGCTGAGGCAGAAGAACCACTTGAATTCGGGAGATAGAGGTTGCAGTGAGCCGAGATCGTGACACTGCACTGCAGCCTGGGTGACAGAGTAAGACTCCATCTCAAAAAAAAAAAAAAAAAAAAAAAAAAGAATTTGATTATATAAAAGGGGCCTGCATTTTAAGGATGAGGAAATGTAGCGACATGAAGTAACTCACCCGGGTCCCACAGGCTATTTAGCTTCAGAAATCAACTCAAATTCCCAAATGCCTCATGTCAAAGCTGCATGCAGATGTTCAGACAACAGATGAGGTTTTAAAGACAAAGAGGAAGACAGCAGGCTCTGAGGAAGGCTTCGCTACCCAGTGAATATGTGGGTAGAGATAAGTTAACAAAGTTAAGAACTAATGTGAAGCAGAGGCATACAGGATGCTAGACTGACCATCTGGATCCACACATAACCATGTGAAGAAATTAATACTGGAAGACAGGGGGCATGTTTCTTATGGAATTAGCTCCTCTACCAGTGACATACCTACAGTGGGCCTGCGGGCATCATGCCACTGTTTTTCAGTGAAAAATGAGTTCAAACCACCTGGTTATGCCCCTAAACAATGGTGGAATTTGGTAAGAATGGATAAAGAGAGTATTGCTAATTAATTCCTCTATTACTAGCTCACATAAAATGCCCACTTAGCTGTTGGTATCACCTTTGAAGGATGGTCAGGTGTTTGGGTAAGATTTAGATATTAAAATTCTTTGGCCAGGCATGGTGGCTCATGCCTGTAATCCTAGCACTTTAGGAAGCCAAGACAGGAGGATCACTTGAGGCCATGAGTTCAAGAACAGCCTGGTCAACATGGCAAGGCCCCTATTTCTACAAAAAGATTAAAAAAAATTGTTCAGCAGACACTTGGCATTCTCAGACGTAATACTTAATAATAACAATGACAATTATAATATGAACATAGTGCTTAATATGTGTGAGACACTGTTAAGCATTTTTCACGTGACAACTCATTGACATCTGAGGACACCATTTGTATTAGTCCATTGTCACGCTGTTGATAAAGACATAACCAACACTGGGAAGCAAAAGAGGTTTAATTGGACTTACAGTTCTGAATGGCTGGGGAGGCCTCAGAATCATGGCGGAAGGTGAAAGGCACTTCTTACATGACAGTGGCAAGAGAAAATGTTGGGGAAGCAAAAGCAGAAACCCCTGACAAACCCATCAGATCTCGTGAGACTTGTTCACTATCAGTCACAAGAACAACATGGGAAAGACTGGACCCCATGATTCAATTACCTCCCTCTGGGTCCCTCCCACAACATGTGGGAATTCTGGGAGATACAATTCAAGTTGAGATTTGAATGGGGACACAGCCAAGCCATATCATTCTGCCCCCGCCCCTCCAAATCTCATGTCCTCACATTTCAAAACCAATCATGCCTTCCTAACAGTCCCCCAAAGTCTTAACTCATTTCAGCATTAACCCAAAAGTCCACAGTCCAAAGTCTGATCTTAGATGAGGCGAGCCCCTCCTGCCTATGAGCCTGTAAAATCAAAAGCAAGCTAGTTACTTCCTAGATACAATGGGAGTATAGGTATTGAGTAAATACAGCCATTCCAAATGAGAGAAATTGGCCAAAACAAAGGAATTACGGGGCCCATGCAAGTCTGAAATCCAGTAGGGCAGTCAAATTTTAAAGCTCCAAAATGATCTCCTTTGACTCCAGGTCTCACACCCAGGTCACACTGATGCAACAGGTGGGTTCCCATGGTTGTGGGTCAGCTCTGCCCCTGTGACTTTGCAGGGCATAGCCTCCCTCCTGGCTGCTTTCACAGGCTGGCATTGAGTGTCTGTGGCTTTTCCAGGCTCAGTGCAGGCTGTCGGTGGATCTACCATTCTGGACTCTGGAGGACAGAGGCCCTCCTCTCACAGTTCCACTAGGCAGTGACCTAGCAGGGATTCTGTGTGGGGGCTCCCACCCTACATTTGCCTTCTGCACTGCCCTAGCAGAGGTTCTTCATGAGGGCCCTGCCCCTGCAGCAAACTTTTGCCTGAGTATCCAGGCATTTCCATACATCTTCTGAAATCTAGGCGGAGGTTCCCAAACCTCAGTTCTTGACTTCTGTGCACCTGCAGGCTCAACATCTCATGGAAGCTGACAAGGCCTGGGGCTTGCACTCTCTGAAGCCACAGCCTGAGCCTAGGGCTAGTGCTCTAGGCTGCACACAGCATGGGAACTTGGGCTCGGCCCACAAAACCACTTTTTCCTCCTGGACCTCCAGGCCTGTGATGGGAGGGGCTGCTATCACAGCCCAAATGACATCACAGCCCAAATGACATGGCCTGGAGACATTTTCCCCATGGTCTTGGGGATTAACACTAGGCTCCTTGCTACTTATGCAAATTTCTGCAGCTGGCTTGAATTTATCCCCAGAAATGGGTTTTTCTTTTCCACTACATGGTCAGGCTGCAAATTTTCTGAACTTTTATGCTCAGCTTCCTTTTTAAATAGTAATGCTTTTAACAGCACCTAAGTCACATTTTGAATGCTTTGCTGCTTAGAAATTTCTTCCACCAGATAACCTAAATCATATCTCTCAAGTTCAAAGTTCCACAAATCTCTGGGGCAGGAGCAAAATCCCGCCAGGCTCTTTGCTAAAATATAACAAGAGTCACCTTTGCTCCAGTTCCCAACAAGTTTCTTATCTCCATCTGAGACCACCTCAGCCTGGACTTTATTGTTCATATCACTATCAGCATTTTTGTCAAAGCCATTCAACAAGTCTCCTGGAGGTTCCAAACTTTCCCACATTTTCCTGTCTTCTTCTGAGCCCTCCAAATTATTCCAACC